CTAACACTGAGCCTTCTGCTCCCGTCTCAAAGCAGCAGTTCCCCAAAAGCACCAGTGGAGGAGACCTAAGCATCGGAGCAGCATTACAAATCAGGAGGTGCAGGGAGGGAAGTCAACAGAGTTGAAAGCCTGCTGCTGCCAGGCACTGCACACGGCACTCAGCTGTGTGACCACAGCATCTGGGACAATGACCTGAGCAGCCAGGATGCTCCCCTGGCAGGGAAAGAACTTGCCTGGACCTAAAGAACGCTGCCTTCTGCCTTCGGTTGGCCCCATCTGCTAGCTGCTCTTTGCCTTTGAATGGGAAGATCCCAATTCTGGACTTTACCTACCAGATATTCAAAAACCTCTGGCTTTCTCTTTGAAAAAGTACCTCTGATTAATGACACTCAAGCTGCCTTTTGGAAAGACAAAAGATTTTTTGCCTTTTCAGGATTCTGCTACTCCCATTCTTATTTCCCTGTGCCCGCTGTTTTTATTTTTATTTATTTATTTACCTTAAACTCTATGGATGGTTGCCCCAGGAAAACAAGACAATCAATCAAATATCTGACTAAGATTTGATGAGCATCCAAAACACATCTGAACACTCTCCTAGATCAGATTAATGCCCTCACGACCTTGCCAGAATAATGTTACAAACAGGCTGAAATTCCAGGTGGGCCTTGTCTCAAAAGATCACCTGTAATGTGCCCAGCAAAGATTTGCCAGGAAAACCAAAATGGTGGTGGTGGTGGGGCTGTAACAGAAAACACCCCACACCCTCAGCCAGAAGATGGCTGTTTCTGTTGCTGCTGTCTCTTAGAAACGACTGTTCTCTGTGATGCATAGCTGGTCACTGTGATGCATGTTGTACAGATCAATTCCAAAACAAAAGGCCATTCTGCTTCTGCACTTCCCACTTGCTCATCTCCTATAAGCCCCAGACCACCAGAGGTCAGGACCTGGTATTCTGGGACTGATTCTGATCGGCGCCCATCCTGTGTCCTTTCGGTGTTTCTGCCTGCTGCTGCAACATCACATCATCGAGGAAGAAGGATGGTTCCTCGGGCGTGGACAGAACATGGGAAGTTTTCAACCTCGTATTTTTTATTAGGTTGGTGCTTGGCATATTTCAAATATTACATAAATAAAAGAAAATGTACTTTCATTAAAGTAATACTTGTGTTATTGCACTTAGGAGGCCACCCTCTAAACATCTGCTTGTAGATTCTGTACACCTAGGGAATAACCTACATACATCCTGGGGAAGCCTCAGAAGTGGCCCAGCTCTTCCTTGCAGCAGAAGCCCACTGAGAATGTCACATGAGAAGCAAATCAACATTGTGCTTTGATCACCAACTTAGCTGGGCGCTTGATATCTCAGGAGATCCACTGTTTTCTCAAACCATCTTCTGTCTCTCTGTAACACGAACACTGAACCCTGTGCCCATCAAGCCTCTGAGTTCCTCTGTCCCATGCTCTGCCTCAGGAGTAATACAGCAGAGTGTCCCAGAGTGCTCCTCACTCTGCCCCACCTTCCTATGCTCCCTCCCTCCTGCCAGGCCACCTCTCACCTGTGCTTGGAGCTCCCCCGCAACACACTGTTGTCTTCTCATTCTAATGGTCAGTCTCTCTCAGCTGGACCTTCCCCTCCACTCTGCAAGTGCAGATCTGTCTCTCACCTAAGCAATGACAGATGGTCACACACCATGTGGCCACTTCCTGCTCTGTGCAGGCTGTGTATACAATGGTGGTCCACCAGGTTGTGTTGCTTAGTGACAAGGTAGAACCCAGTTTCTCCAAGCACATCAGCAAGGTTGGCACAACTCAATCACCTACGGACGCACTTCTCGGAGTAGACCCCTGTTGTGGAACTATAGAACAAAGGAATCCTCTGTTGCTCCCAAAGCCTGAGCCGCGGGACCTGCTTTGCTCCTCCTCCCCGCCCTGTTCACGCTGTCACTCAGGTGCACCTTCCCCCAGCTGACCCTGCAGGTCACAGGAAAGCTATCCCCGGCTGGGCATGCCACCACTCTCCGCATGTTCTTTCAGCACTGTGGGGCCTGCCAGGCCCCACACATTTTGCATCAGTCAATGGGGTTTGCACATGCTACTTAATCCAGCACTGGTATGTGACAACTCCATCACTAGACTGTGAGCCCCAAGAGGGAAGGTCTGGGGTCCCTCTGTACTCCATGTTTGCCCAGCACTCGGTGGGCACCCTGGTGCAGTCACTGTGCTGCTTAACATCAAAGACACGTTCTAAGAAATGCATTGTCAGGTGACTTTGTCACAGGGCAGGCATCACAGTATCTTATATGATTCTAGGCCACCCAGCAGGGCCTCCTGCACCTGGGCTACAAACTGCGCTACGCGACTGTAATGCAACGGTTAACTGTGTGTCTAAATATTGAAAAAGTGCAGTAAAAATTAGCCAGCCTACAGGAATTTCTCAGTTCCACTGTAATCCTATGGAACCGTGCTGTATGTGGGCTCCGTCACTGGCTGCAATGTCCTTGCATTGTCTATAACTGTACTTCTTAGGAGGTCAATAGAGAAGCGCTGCCTCAGAGGATGTTATTTAACTGGACCTCCAGTCCGATTTGCCCTGAGGAAGGTGAACAGGCAAGTTCGGAGCAGAGTGGCCCGTGGGGTGCATGAGGTGGCAGATAAATCCTGCTCCTGCTGCAGAGCAGTCCTGGTGCTCGGGAGGAAACCAGGAGGGCTACTGCTGTGTTCTGAGGAGTCCTTGTTCCTCCTACTACGGACAATCCCTTCAGATACACACTGCTGTTTAAGAACGCCCGAGAGGCATTCCCCTCTGATAGCAAGATTTTTCAGAAATACAGAAACTCCTCGGGGGAAATCACTGAGAAGCAGCTCTTTGTGGATGAACTGAAAAGCCCGAAGTAGAAAAATGAAAACAGAAGACTGTTGCATAATTTCCTCCAAAGACTTCAAGATTTCCTTTGAGGGGATTAGTTGCGTTCTGGAATTTTTCCCAAGAATGGAGCCAAAGGCAGCAAACTTTCTTTAACAGAGATAAGGAACAACGCTGCCTGCAGACCACCAGGCTTCTTGCTTCACGATCTGAAAGGCTGTTAGCTGTGCAGGCTGCACTCTCTTACTTGAAGATTCATTTTTCCTTGTTTCCTAACAAGATCCAAATGGAAATGTGTGCGTGTATTCATACACGTATGTTAAAGAAACTAATTTTCTTTTGAAAAATTTAAGGACTTTCGCAAAACTTGGAAAGTGGCATGGGAGACCTACATTCAAAGGCAAATTTGTGATATCAAGTTTTAACCAGACCCTGAAGGCAAAACATTCCAAAGCCTCAGACTTCTGACTGCAGTATATTAAGTTTAAACCCAATAAATTAAAGGAGGAGAACACCCTTAGTTCCTCACAACTGTAAACTGGGCAATACCGATTTATTTACAAAGCCTCTGTATGGAAGCTTGGAATCAATTGCATAATTAACTTTTTTCCCAAACAATGGCTGAGCTGATCCCCAGCAAGACAAGTTCACTGCATTTTAATTGCAAGAGTTTGTCCTTTTTCAGGGTGCCCAGCTGCATAAAGAGGATCTTTCTCATATGGTAGAATAGGGTTTAGTAAATTATGAACATTAAAGCAAGCAAACCAAGAGAAAGTCAACTTGCAGGACTTCTCAGATAGTTTGCTTATTTGCAGTGAGACAGCAGTGTGTGGGAAGAACATCGCATTTGGTGTTCTTCAGACGTGCATTTGAGTACTGTCTGCTCTTTACCAGCCAGCAGTGGAGAATTAAAGTCTTGGACCAGTGCTCCCAGTGACAAATCTGGCCGATGATAGGACTCTTGATAAAAGTAAGTCAAACATATAAGTGAGTGTTTTGAGACATACCTACCAGGCATCCAATACTTTATTTGTCAATTGCAAAAAATTATTTGGTGCATGCTTACATATTATGAAAATGAGGATAAATATACATTTTCCATAAAAGTTAGGAAAAGCCTTCTATTTCTTTTACTTTTCTATCATTTCAGATGAAGAATAGAAAATAATGTTTTTTAGTAAAGGACACAATAATATGAGCTTCAAAATTCCATGGCATCCTCAGAAAAAGAAGTAGTACCACGTGACCTTATAAAATGATGGAATAATAGTCAATTTGTTTGGAGGGAGCTTTCATTATAGAACAAAGCAAAGAACAGAGCCCAGGTATTGGGAGTTACATCAAAACAGTGTTCAATGGAAAGGCTACAGGGACCTCTGCATGGGATACAGCGTGCTCCCTGATCCCCATCTGGACCCCTCCATCTCCCTGTGGTTGAAGCCCAGGTGCCCAAAGCCCCAGACCCTCAGGGGAGCCCCCTGGCTGACTGTTTCTCTTCCACCACCTTCGGGTTTTCACTGGCCGTGTTTCTACTTAAGCTTAAGAAGGATGAGCGACAATCACTCATCTTCCTGTTCAAAATCCGAGCAGGTGGATAATCAGTAACATACACCTTTTTTTATCTAAGGGAAATACATGGTCAAGAGGATTAACTAGCGTTAGCACACCCATCGTTGTGCACACAACCCACAGTAAGTCCTCTCTTCCCCTTTGGTTGTCCAAGGAGAAAAATGAAGGCATGAATGATGGGAGCTATGATATTTTAACGAGGCTGGGTAAAAGCACCCCATGATCCTGTCTGGGGTCTGGGGAAGGAAACTGAGAATTCACTGACATACACAGAGCCATGCTCATCATTCAGGAGTGGACCACCTAGCTGACTGCAGTTGCCGTGGAATTTATGTAGAACAGGCGTAAGCCCTGAATGGCAGACAGCCATAGCAAGGGATGTGTGTTTTCCTGGGAGCTCAAACCAATGGGTAGTTGGCTGACTGAGGCACCTGACATAGGAATTTTAGTTCCATAAGGGCTTGATAAAGAGTACACACTGTGAGCCCCACAGCAGAAGCTGATTTTGCTTCATTTGCCAACTAAAGAGAGAGTTAAAAGAAAAACATAAAGGCCCACATTGACTCACAGTGCGGCTCGTAGGGAGGAGGGGGGTCTCCGCAGGGCACGCACTCCATGTCTTGAAAACCGACAAGTTTAGTCTTCCTGTAAAATCTAGAAGAGGAAGAAAAATAAGCCTGGTTAGTTCTGCCGTCCAAGCTTAACAGTTGGCGCTAATAAGTTCATGATAAATTAGCAGCAGTCTCCACTACAATTCTACACTTGAATGAAAGGACCCAAAGGCTGAAGTATACCAGTGTCTTAGGCCTTGGAGAGCCTTTCCAGCAGGCAGAGAATACTTCAAAAACACCAATTCCGCCACACCAAACTGCAGTCCTCCCTGGGTGAAGCACAAAATCCTATGTCTTTGGTGCTCTGTTGGAATTTAAACCATAATAAACCTTATAGATAAACTGCTGTGTTTTTACATTTCAAATCCAGGAGACAAAAAAGCTAAGCAAACCAAAAAAGTGTGGAGACTCATACAATTGTGACATTGGATTTGGTTAGGCATGAGAAGAAACCCAGGAGCCAGAATAGAAGAGATTGACAAGTTTGACCAAAAATAAGAAAGAAGGAAGGAAGGAAGGAAGGAAGGAAAGAAAGAAAGAAAGAAAGAAAGAAAGAAAGAAAGAAAGAAAGAAAGAAAGAAAGGTCCCAAGGGCAAAAATAAAGCATTGTTAGCATAATTAATGGACAACCAAAATTTAAAAAATTATTCTGGTTATATATGTACAATTTATGTCTGTGGAAGACAAAAGTCATTACAGCACAAGTGAATGCTACAACTCAAAACAGGCAAAGAACACGCAATCCCCAAAGAAGCATATTTTGCAATTATACAATGTCATAATTAAAATGGCTGATAGAATTAAACATGTTAAAAATGATATTAAAATGCTTAGCTTCATTGCAATTCAGGCAAGAGCAAGTTGAAGAGAAAACATCATTTTTCTTAGAGAACTGGAAAAAGGTTGATGTAAGTACGAGCAGAATAGAAATGGCCACTTTTAAGAAGGAAATTTAGTGATATGTCGTCAGAGTTCAAAAAATGCTTTATACTCCTGAGCTCCTACTTTCATCTTTAGAAATTTATCCTAAAGAAGTACTCTTCTGGGTAAAGTTATGCATGCATGGATACACTCGCAGCATTGTTTATAACCGAAAATTCAGACATAATCCTAGTGTCTAACAGTAGAAATAACCAACCATGGTAGATCCAACACCACGGAGCACAATCTGGCCTGCAGAAATGATGTTTGGATCTACCAGACAGAATTTTTAAAATTCATGAAATAACACTGAGTGAAAGAAAAACAGTGTGTGGTTCTGTTTTGTACAAACATGAACTTTCATTTAGATTTAACTTGTTCACCAATGTGTATCAAGATATTTGCATCGGGAAAGTCTGGGGTGGTGATCTGCACCGAGTATGAACAGTGGCTACTTCTATATGGTGGAGACTCAAGTGATTTTCTTTTTCTTCCAAGTGTGTAACTTCCAGAGAGGGAGAGTGCAGAGGACCACGTCCAGCAGGGGTGGAAAGGCAGCAGAAACACCTGAACATGTGCAATCCCTACGCTGGGCAGCCAGGGCCAAGCCCACATCCACCCAGCGTCGGGTGCCCTGGAGGCACCACCCTGTGCACCCACCTCCTGTCCATCAGCCTCTCCTCCAGGCCCCAGGCTCCTCCCCTGGAGCATTCTCTCCTATGGGCCCTCTTCTGTGTCCCTGCCAGGGTGTCCCCACGCCAACCCTCAGGTCCCTGTCCTTCCTATAGCCACCACCTGCTGCCTCTGTACCCGCTGGCCCCTGGCACGGTGCGTCCAGGAATCAGGATGGACAAGACGTGGAAAAAAATGAGAACATTTCATAGAAAGATGCAGAAACAGCACAAGCATGGTAAGCACTCCTCTTCCGGCAGTGACTCTGGGTACAGGCTCTGAACTCCCCACTCCATCTTTCCAATTCTGGGTTGCACTGGGAAAATTAACCCTTGGGTCCCCAACCCCTTCCTGGGCCTTGCCCTGCTTGTCAGCCCTGACTGGCCAGGGGAAATGAAAAGAGGATTACAGTAGAGTCCCTCTGGCCGATGATTGCCTTTTAGAAGGTGATTTCTGTTCCTTAGCTCAATTTACCATCTCAGCTCCTACTCGTTTTCCATGTCTCTGTCCAAACAAAGCTATTTCTTCTGGTGAAACACGTGCATATATAATTTCCAGACACAATTTTCCTTTGAAAATGGATAATTTACTAGCAAATCAGCATAATTTAGGGTTGAAGCAAAATTTTCATTTGAAACTATCTCAAATGCCCAGATATCTTCAGTAATGGCTCAACCTATTTTGATTTGATCCTAAAAATCTGCCTAAATGATACATATCACATTGACTTTCCATCAGACTTTGAGAAGAATTATTCATCTTGCAAGAGTAAAAAAGGACAAAATTGGAAGACACACTTCTTGCTTTTAAAGCACACTGCAAAGCCATACCAGGCCAGGCATGGTATACGCCTGGTATATGCCATCGTACATGCCTATAATCCCAGCACTCGGGGGACTGAGGTAGTAGGATTTCTATGAGTTCAACCTGGGTTACAAAGTGAGTTGAAGGCCAACTGAACTACGTGGGGAGATCCTGTCTTGAAAAGTAAAATGCTACAACAGTCAAAACAGTGTGGTTCTGACATAAAGACAAACAGAGAGACCAGTGGGATAAAAAAGCCCAGAGGTGAACCCCTGCGGACTTGGTCAGGGGACTCTGACAATGTGCCAAGATGGCCTGATAAGGAAAGGACAGGCTCTTTCAAAAGCAGTGCTGGGAAAACCCACATGCAATAGAATGAAAATAAACTCTTACAGTATATACAAACCAACTCAAAACAAATTACAAACCCAAAAGTAAGCTCTAAAACTATAAAACTTTGAGAAGAAATCAGAGAGGGAAATTTCATGAAATTTTGGCAATAATATGACATCAAACACCCAGGCAACAAATGCAAAAACTTTACACGAGACTCCATTAGACTTTAAAACTCCTGTGTATCCGAGGACAATTCAACAGACAAACTAAGAAATGGGAACAATATCTGCAAATCATGTATCTGACAAAAGGCTAATGCCCCAAATCTATAAGGATCTGTCCTTCAACAACAAAAATCAAGTAACTTGATTAAAAGTGGGCAGAGAACTTAAACAGGCATTTCTGCAAACATGAGCACTACATAAGTGTATGAAAATATGCTATGTAACTCATCATCAGGAAACCCTAAATCAGAACCACCCTGAGATACACCACTTTGCAACCATTAGGATAGCAACCATCAGAAAGCAAAATAAAATAACACAAGAACTAAGGAAATAAATGTTGGAGAGGGTGCAGGAACTGGGATTATGGTTAAACAAAATGCAGAAGATGGATAGTTACTCAGGAATATTATTACACTATAAAAAGAATGTGAATCCAATCACAGAATACAATATGGGAGAACCTTGAGGACAGTATGCTAAATGGAATAAGCCAGTCACAAATAGACAGATATGGGGCTGGGGATTTAGCTCAGCGGCATAAGCGCCTGCCTTGCAAGCAGGCAGTCGTGAGTTCGATCCCTGGTACCGATAAAAATGAAAAAGACCAAAAAAAAAAAAAAAAAAAGTAAAAAAAAAAAAAAAAAAAACAAATAGACAGATATGACATGACTCCATTGATCAGAGGTATTTAGAGTGTCAAATTCAGAGAGAGAGAGAAAGAGAGAGAGAGAGAGACAGAGCGAGAGAGAGAGAGAGACAGAGACAGAGAGACAGAGAGACAGAGAGTCAGAAAGGATGAGAGGAAGCTGTTCCAGGAGTATACAGCTTCAGCTTGGGAAGCTGCAATAGTTTGGAGGTTTGTTTCAGAATAATGCGAGCGTGTTTAACACTACTGAAGTATGTGCTTAAAAATGGCTCAGCTAGTAAATTTTATGTGCTTTTAAACCATAATAGAAAAATGTATATAAAACTTTAAAAATAACAGGACTATATGTCTCGGTAAACCTTCTAACATGTGCAGATGGTTATTTTTTTACCCTTTTACCCAGAAAACTTAACAAATTATAGCTGATAAAGTATTGGTAAAGGCTAGAATTATTTTTCATACATAAAAACTTATTTTATGTAAAAAAGTGAAAAATATAATATTGATCCTTTTCAACAGCATATATTGAGGATTCAGAAATACATCCTATAAAACTTTTTAAAATGCTAGACAGAGGAGAGGTGTCGGAAATCAAATACAGATTTAACATTTTAAAATAACGAATGTGGGACAGTGGAGCTCAGCGGCATAAGCACCTGGCTGGCAAGCGCAAGGTCCTAAGTTCAACTCCTGGTACCAAATAAATAAATTTAAAAGATAAAATAACGAATTTATCTTGCAGTAAAATAATTTTGAGGGCTGCACTTTCCCTAATAAACAATTTGCCAAAAACATGTTTATTAAAATGTAAGATGAGTTTGAAGACCCTCACGCAAATGAGGCCAGAAGACAAGAGAGTCAGGTCATGTTCCGAATGACCATTAACACCTAACAGAAAGGCTGAATGAGCACCAGCCAAGGGTTCCACAGGCTCAGGGGCTCAAGGGAGGGCTGCGTGCGGCGTCTCTGAAGGTGGTACCAGGGGCTACACTCACAACACGGTGGGCTACCTTTTTATCCCAGTGGCTAACAGACAGAATTCAAGATTGTCTACAGAATTTTCACTTTTGTTTTTATCAATACAGAGTCAGAACTATGAAGCACAGGATATCTGCTAAATTACTAAGTGCTTATGACAAAAAATACTGGTTTTAATTTTTAAAAGCTCCTGCAAAATTAGAATCTAATGTGAAAATGAGTATCCAGAAATCAGAGCTTTAAAATATGTCTTAGACTTAATTGGGAGGCAAATAAATATATGAAAAGTTGTTCAACATCACTGGTCATTTGAGCGATGCAAATTAAAACAACACTGAATTCCACCTCACCTCAGAAAGAATGACTATTATAAAAAAATCAACCAATAACAAACGCTGGCGGGGCTGTGGGGAAAAAGGAGCCCTTCTCTACTGTCGGTGGGAGTGTGGACTGGTGCAA